AGAGACTGAAACAAACATGTTATTTTTCCAAATATGACGACTAATTCTGTGTTTCTGGGGAGAATCATGAAGCGATTATCTGCAACATGTTGTAACAAGTTTATAAACACAAGCTCCAGCTCTGAAAAGGACTGAAGGCGGAAACGGATCCACAGGCTCTTATTTCTGAGCATGAGCAGAAGAAAGTGAGCACAAAGGGCCGGGGGCGTCCCGGCACAAAGCTCCATATCCTCTTACTGGATAAACTGGTTTTTATGGCTGTGGTTCTGGCACACAGTGCCTGAGCGACAGCAGCCGCTTTCAAACTACCAGCCTAATTAAGTGACGCATTTAAGTTTGGAGCAGAATGGCTGCACAGCCATTAAGGCCCGGGGGCGATGCATTCACAGGCCGTCTGAAAAACCCATTTACACGGAAAACCAACACCAGGAGAAGATTACAGTCATTTTAGGATTTTGGTGAGTTATATTAATTAACTTTGGAAACGAGAACCAAACCAACAAGTTGAACAATAAACAAGTCTCCTTTCCTGGAGAAACCTCTGGACTGGTGCACCGATTGCTGCTTTCTGACCGATTTGTCTGAAACGTTGCTAAATGTCGTAACAATGATGACATCACAGGATGATGGATGGGATCAGTTTATCAAATGATCATCAATCTCCCAAAACGAAGAAAATTGGGGCCGATTTATCGGTGAACCTTTTTCCTGGACTAGTTCTGGCCACGTCTCATTGCAGTACTGGTAGAAAGTATTCAAACTGGCCGTTTTCCTTGTACTGGTTCAGTTTGCAAGCATTTCTCTTTCATTTTCAAAAGGATGGACATCAGCAGAATCGCTAAGCGCTAACGTTAGCCTGAATGTCTGTTGGGATTCCTGTGCTGGTGGAAAATGTAGAAATCTCATCAGAAAGTAGAGATGGGCGTTAAGATCGAAACTTCAGATTCAGATTCCTTTATGAAATGTTTTCAACTCGACTCCAAAAGATTCTGCTTCGATTTTCTCTCATATTATCATTTTTTCCACTTTTATGTAGGACAAACGCATAAAAATTTGTCTTATTGTTTAATTGTTTATCTTGTTTAGTTAAGTATTTTGTAGACATTTATAAAATTTGTTCAAATTCTGACATCTTAAAATAATTCAAAGGAGAAACTAAATGAAAAATAAAAAGCGTCAGCATCATAGATTGTGGCTTTATTTGTTCGCTTTTGGATTTATACCAAAATATTCAATATCCCAACCCTAATAGAAATTGCTCTGGATTTATTTTAAATGTCGTGGACATGGAAATGAAACGGAAAAAGGCAAGAAAGGTGAAGGAAAAGGTTAAAAAGGAAATAAAAGTAGAGCAGGGAAAATAGAGAGAATACGAGTGAAAACCCTAAAATTCTGCTTCTGCACCAGCAGAAAGAGAAAAACAGACAGAAACATCAGCAACAAATAAAATATGTATATATATAAGTTAATAAAAGCCTTATTTATTGCTGTCTGCAGTCGTAACGCTCCACTTGTGAAAGTAAACCCGTTGAGCTTCACCTTGGCTCTCAGACTACGAGTCGTTTTAAAGGCCAGGACACATTTAAAAATAAAAATAAAGTACAAGGCCAGATTTCACAGCCTCACTTCGACTCCTCCAAACATACTTATCATTTTTGCCACATTCTTCCTATTGGCAGATAAATCAAGAATAATCCTGTTTTATTGCAGCGCTCCTCTGTGGTTCTGGTTCTGTTTGGTACCAGGATTAAGTAGCAGATTTGTCCCAAACTAACCATCTGGAGGGACAGATTAGCAGCTGAATAATCGCACCTCGCTGCATCTGATTAAAGGTTCGTGCAGACAAACAGCAAACAGTTTAAACTCAGATCTCAGAGGATTTAAAATGCAACTCATGCTGCAAAATGATGCACAACTATAATCATTATAATTACTATTATCAACAAAAACTACTCAGTCCTGACACACAACACAAATATGACTCCTGACAAACAGACCTGTGATTTTAGCCGTTCTTCAGGACGGCAGCCACATAAAGAGCCATTTGTGTCACCAAACTGTCGCTACATTTAGTGTTATTTCAAATTGACTGATATTTATTAACCATCTCTGAACCAACAGTGGAGATAAAAAGCCAAAGTAATATTTCTGATCATTCTGGCAGTTTGTTTTTTATTTACCATCAATAACTGAATTTTATTGAGATGACAAATTAAAACTTTCATCATGATAAAAATAATTCACTATAAACGGTTTGGTAAACGCCCCGGTTGGCGCCTTTCCTCTGCCTACATCTCCCAGAATGCTGTGCGGTTCTGGATCAGAAATTATTTAATATTCTATCAGGTGTGTTACATTATCCAATGTTATTGATTTATTGGCCAGCTGTGTGTGGAATCTTTGCTGTCAGATTTAAACAGAGGGTTCCTGAATGCCTCACGCTGAATCTGCGAGTAAAAACCTCAACTTCATGCACTTTGTCTGGGATTAACCAATCCTGACCACGTTAACAATAAGCGGAAGTGTTCCCGTTAATTAGTCAAAGAGAGCAAAGTTTGCAGCGCCAACAATGGAGCCTTGTGCAGCCGGAGGCTCTGCAGCTTTAACAAAACAAAGCTGCACAATTAGATTCACCACCAACAATTCAGCGCCAACAACTGCTGGCCTGCGGCTCACAGGGCGCAGGCCATGTCCCCACGCATAGTGGAAAAACACGCATCCCGGTTTCACTCAGACACCTGCGCGCTGAGCAGGTGGATCCAAAGTAAAACAACCTCTGAACGGTTCCGATGAAGAACCCGTCCTTTCCCTGCATCATTCCTGCGCCAACATCCCCCCAATCAGCGCAGCAGGGACGCACTAACAGGGAGACGCTCATGCGGGAAAATCTATTTTTACCGAGCAGCAGGGCGAGGCTCTGCTGCACCGAACAAAGTAGGGAAACTGCAGGGAGGGGCGAAGCGGAAGTGTCCTTCCTCCTGATGAACCGCCACTTGGATTCACGTTACAGTATAACTTTAAATAAAAAATAAATATATCCAGAAATCTCATGACCCCTCCAGCGCACATCCACGACCCTTCTGGGGTTTGCAACCCCCATGTTGAAGACCCCTCATCTAATCTATCCATTTTATTTCTGGCTGCATGTTTACATCAGTTATCCTCCAGCCCAGTGAAAGTTTTCTGCAGCCTCTAACTGGTTTATTCCAGCACTATCTGTACAGATCCCCACAGCATTATGCTGCCACTACCATGTTTCACGTGAGGGTTATGCAGGGTGATTTCCTACAAACAGCGTTGGCTGTTACAGGTGCAGGAAATACGCCGCAAACACACAAAGGATTCAAACTTCAAGACACACAAAGACAAAACGCAACAGAAAACAAAAAAGAAGCAACCAATGAAACAAAGGCAAAGACCAATGAAACAAAGGCAACGACCAATGAAACAAAGGCAACGACCAATGAAACAAAGGCAACGACCAATGAAACAAAGGCAACGACCAATGAAACAAAGGCAACGACCAATGAAACAAAGGCAACGACCAATGAAACAAAGGCAACGACCAATGAAACAAAGGCAACGACCAATGAAACAAAGGCAACGACCAATGAAACAAATGTAACGACCAATGAAACAAAGGCAACGACCAATGAAACAAATGCAACGACCAATGAAACAAATGCAACGACCAATAAAACAAATGTAACGACCAATAAAACAAATGCAACGACCAATGAAACAAATGCAACGACCAATGAAACAAATGCAACGACCAATGAAACAAAATGCAATGACCAATGAAACAAATGTAACGACCAATAAAACAAATGTAACGACCAATGAAACAAATGCAATGACCAATGAAACAAATGTAACGACCAATGAAACAAATGCAACCACCAATGAAACAAATGCAACGACCAATGAAACAAATGCAACGACCAATGAAACAAATGCAACGACCAATGAAACAAATGCAACGACCAATGAAACAAATGCAACGACCAATGAAACAAATGCAATGACCAATGAAACAAATGTAACGACCAATAAAACAAATGTAACGACCAATGAAACAAATGTAACGACCAATGAAACAAATGCAATGACCAATGAAACAAATGTAACGACCAATAAAACAAATGCAACGACCAATAAAACAAATGTAACGACCAATAAAACAAATGTAACCACCAATGAAACAAATGCAACGACCAATGAAACAAATGCAACGACCAATGAAACAAATGCAACGACCAATGAAACAAATGCAATGACCAATGAAACAAATGTAACGACCAATAAAACAAATGTAACGACCAATGAAACAAATGCAATGACCAATGAAACAAATGTAACGACCAATGAAACAAATGCAACGACCAATAAAACAAATGCAATGACCAATGAAACAAATGTAACGACCAATGAAACAAATGCAACGACCAATAAAACAAATGTAACGACCAGTGAAACAAATGTAACGACCAGACAGACGCAGAAGAACAAAAATGGACCAAATGTGCTGCAAACAAAAGTCCTCCAGACCACTAGGGGGAGTCGAGAACCAAACCGGAAGTCATGATTTTACAAAGAGTTGGAAAAAGAAAGAAAAGTTATAATTCATTATTTTTACAATAAAAAACAGGAGCATATTTACGTAGGTGGGGAATATTACCAATTCCAGACTCCCCCTAGTGGCCTGGAGGACTTTACAGCGTTTTACACTTCCTGCTTTTACTATTTGCAGCGTTTTTTCTGTGACTGCAGCATGTTTCTGCTCATTGTGTAGCTTTCATGTGTTTTCTGCTCGTTTTGACCTTTCAGCGTTTTAACTTGATGAGCAACTAAAACAGATTCTGTGGATCTCTGCTGCTCCTCCAAAGTCACTCTGAGCATGTTGGATCCCAGTTCCTGGTCAGGTGGACCACATGTACTCATTAAGTGCCAGATGTTTCGGCGGTAAGTGGGAGCTGAGCTCAGCTGACCAGACTGACCTCCTCCAGCGCAGCCACGGTGTTCCTGCACTGGGACATCCTGGTGGTGAAAATAGAGGCGGTGGGAGATTTATAATCTTCATTCGTCTCCGCGACAAACTCTGAAACTGTTATTTGGTCCGGCATCGTTAATCCACAGTTCGGTTTCTAAGAAATGTGATTGGAAGCGCCGTCAGCAGCAGTGAAGGTCCCGCGGGAAGCGAACCATCTCCGGGCTCATCCACGTCCTTCCCCGCTGTTGGAGCTCCGCGCCGCCGGGTGACAGGCCAGGCGACCAGCAGGCTACTCGCTCCCCATCCGGGTCACCGGCTCATCCTGGGAGCCCGCAGGGGAAGAAAAGCGACCAGATATCCGGACTGGCTGAGCGAACTTCTCCCTCCTCCGCCGGGATCCGTCGAACAACAAGCTGGCGATTCAACCCGAGCGCAAAATGACAAAGATAGAGGAGGGCGCTCAATGAAGCCGCCCCAGCCAATGGGAAGCAGCCGCTGGAAACGGAGAGCCAATCAGAATTCAGGAAAAATGATGCTTTCCAGTGCTGTTCGGAAATTATCCTACTTAACTAAAAACACAAAATCTAACCAGAATTGAACGTTTTCTCCACTTTGTAAAACTTAATTGTAATAAATTAAAGTATAATGCAGTTTTTCTTACAATAAAAACGTAAAAACAAAAAGACAATTATTAACATTTGTATAAATTGTAGTGATGCAATTCAGCAATATAACAGATTTTCTATTTAACTGCACGTTACAAATATACTCAGATTCAAAAGTATAGCGATGTTCAATTAATTAAAGTATTACTTTAAAGAAAACTATTATAATAACTCCGTGAAATGCATCATATGAGTAATTCCACTTAGACTAGTGTTTTCAAGACCTTATTTGTGTTAATCATAATTTACTGCTAACACTGAATGAAAATGTAACAGTTACTATGAAATATTACATCAAACTAATAAAATTATGTTTTTATACTGAAATGTATATTCAACACCTGCATTAAATCGTTTTACTCTGACTTAATGTACTTTAAACCTGAGTAAAACGAGCCTCACTGATATTTGGAATTATGAACTGGTTGGTTTCATGACAGAAATGCAGTTTAATCCAGTTCACAGGTTTTCTGAAGTAAGGAAAACTGGTTTTTTATATGCAACACTAAGAACAAGGTTCAAAAATACTTCAATTCAAAAATACTTTATTGACCCCAAAGGGAAAGTCAGTGTTGCAACTCATTTCAAACGCTTGTTATGCTCAGCCAGGTTCTAATAAAACAGCAGTCCACTACTTTGAATTAAAAGTCAATCTAATGGGGTTGCATATGAAAAAATCTCTGTTGATTCAAGAAATTTTTTTAAAACATATTTTCACCGATTTTAAAATTCCCAACAGGCCTTAAAGGCAGCACAGAGACTGCGCAGTCTCTTCTTTGTTGAGGTGGAAATGAGTGAATCAGGCAGATGATTCAGTTCACGTTGTTTGTATTTGATAAGGGAATTACCAAAGTAAGATTCATGACAGAAACACATTAGTAATGTGTCTGTTGTGGCTGAATCACTGATTTAACTGTGAATAAATATGTTTGGAAGTTACATTTCCCATTTTTAAAAATCTTTTAAGGTCCCTGTAATTTAAAACCTGATGTTTTGAGGCTTATTGGTGTCAGATCTGGACAGCAGCAGGAACCAAACAGTGGATCCTCATCATCATCATCATCAGCAGCAGCAGCAGCAGCAGCAGCAGGCGAAGCTAAACCCTGGGCAACCCTCAGCCCAGGAACTGGGCAGCGTTCACACATTCTTTCAGCTCTGCAGCGTCTCCTGGCAAGATGCTAAATGAGGAGCCAAAGACCCAGCCTGACCCCGACAGGCTTGTAGGCGACTTCAACTAACTCATGAAAACGAATAAACAGGCTGCGTGTGGACATCTGCCATCCAGACAGAGCAGCAACAAACTCCAACAAACTCTGCTGCAGGAGGTCAAAGTCACTGCTAACTAAATTACAAGATAGGCAAAAAGCAAAACCTTCATTTATTAGTATTTTACACCTCAAAGTTTGTTGCAAGCTGCTTGAAAAAAAAGCACAAGCCGTCAGCTGCCTGAGTGAACAGAACAGAAGCCTCATTCAGCAGCTCAATGTACACTTTGTTTGCATGCAGGCTGCATGCGGCCTCATGCAGCAGCACAGGCATGCAGTTGTTTGGAGGCGCTTTGGTCACGGCTGCTGTGTTTTTTAACATCTCCAGATGATTTAGTGAAGCCGAAAACCTCCTCGTTAATCACCGCTCCGCTTGGGAATCTGTCTGTTTCCTGCAAAATCAGCTAATTTGCTAAACAACACAGAACAAAAGCTGCAAACAGAAACGATTGTGCTGCAGGGTGTGAGCCTCAAACGTCCAGCGCGGTGTCTCTGGTTTGCCATTTTGGAGTCTGCAGGAACATGTCAAAGCAACTAACAGCACAGATGTCTGAGTGGGAGTCAGTTTTTCCCTAAATACACAGGATGACATCATAGTTGTGCAACAGGTGGGAAAACTTCAGCTTTCCCGCTCATGACATCTTGAGTAATTCAGAACAAATTATTTCTTTGTTTGAAATAATTTGCAGTTGGTGGAAAGTCGTATTTTTAGCCCAACTGGGTCCTAATTAGACGGCGTGATGCTGGAAACTCATCTTGTGCATTAAAGGCTGTAAGACAAGTTTAAACAATAGCTGGTTGCAGACAGGAAGGAGCTGAGAATATTCCACTAAAGAAATGGGACGTTTTAATGAGGTATGGGCAGAACTCCTAATTAAATCAGTTTATTTATTTAAACTGAAACCCTTAAGTCTGATCTGGGGTCTCTTCCATTTAATCACCTCCATATCATTCCTCCTCTGGTTCCTCTTGTTAAATCCTGTCAGGTTTCTTGTATTTCTGTTTGTTTCTGGTGTTTTTTGTTCTCCTTTGTTTTATTTTTTCCATTAAATCATCAAATTCCCTCCTCTATAATGAGGACATACATTATCTCCTTCTTCTTGATCAGATATTTCATAAATTCAGCAGTAATGATCTGTTCCACCAAACCCACCTCCAGTTGGTCATAATGTAAAAACACACAGTTTTTTTTACATTGCCATGTTTCTATTTAAAAGGAAACACAATTAAAATCAGACAAACATCCTGCAACTGCTTCCTGTCGTTGTTTTCTTCTGTTTGCATCAGCCGTAAAAAAAAAAATCTGTTTCAAATGCAGTTTTGAGAAATAAACTAATTTCAATGCAGTAAAATAACACCTTATCAAAGCCCAAAAGGATTTTTTAATTAGTGTATTTACATTAAGTGAATTTATTTAGGAAATTTCAAGTTGTGTGAACTTATGATTAATAGAAATACCTGACAATTATGCGTAAGAATAAACCTCATTAGCTGCGTTTCTGAACAAATATGTAGAAAACTTTGTGTGACATAGATGAACGACATCCAATTAAAAACTGTTCTGTCATATAAAAGCATCAGATTTTAATTTGTGGTGAAAAGCAGCTGCTTCCCTCCATCGGTGGAACGAGTGACTTTTAGAGTAATTATGATCCATCACAGGATTGGTTCTGTTTTTATCTGCTGCTCCTCATTAAATCCTGACTGGAAGCTCGTCGCTTTGCCCCAACCTGACTCCCCTTCATGGCTGCTTTCACCCAACATGCTAAATATAACATTCACTTCCCTCCAGATAATAAACTCCTCTCTGCTCTGAGGGACAGAAGTCATTCTGTTACATTCTCAATAAAATCATTTATGTTGCTTTTTAGATTAAGGTTCCTTAACTTAATGTTTATTTACTGTCTACAACCTAATAGTTCGATAAACTCGGTTCGATTTCAGCCCAAATGTTGCAACAATTGTTCCATTAATGATCCAAATGATCCAAACCGTTGAGCAGTCTGTTCCCCTCCTGGCCTGTGGGGGCGCTGCACCAACAACCACTGAAGGAAACAACACAAAAACCTCTGAAAAAGACACTGAGTGAAACTTCCTGCTTCACTAAACAGAAACAGAAATGGATGGAAGTCAAACTGGAGCAGTTGGAGGATTTCTCTTAGGCTAAAGACCATAAGCTAATTCTCCAGCTAGCCTAGCATGTTTGTTTTGATTGTATTTACCCAGAATGCCCTGCGCTCTACGTTCATTTAGATACTTTAACTGAAACCTTTCTTCATTTCCTTTCTATAATTTTTTTTTTACAAATATTTCTATGAAAATGTCCACAACCTCAAACTTTTCAACACTTTCTGTGTATTTAATCTGGATTTTATAAAATTATTGACAGTAAATCGAGAAGAAAAATGTTGGCTGGTTTTCAAAATGTAAACAGTAATTATGAGCCTCAGGTTTTCTGAAGCTCCAGTTTTTCTTATTTACAATATACGAATATTTGCAGTTGCAATGTGACATAAAGTGAAAAACTGGGCTTTGTTTAATCTGCTTTTTGTTTTCTTTAAGTCTCTCTGGGTTCTTTCAAAATTGTTTGGGTGAATTTTGCACCCAGACAAATAAAACCTCGATATTATGGTTAGCCTGTTGATGGCGAGGATGAACAGCAGCTCTGCCTCTCTGGTTCCCAAGGTGAGCCGCTGCTGTCATGGTGCAAATCCCCAGGCTGGACCTGCTGAGGATGAACTGGGCCGGAATAACGATCCAGAATCCCAACATAAAGAAGAGAGCCGACAGCAGAGCGCTGCGTGTCCAGGGTCTCCGGATCCCTGTGGGAACGCTAATGGAGGGGCATCGAGTTCAGGCCATTAGACTCAGCTGCTGCAGAAACATTTCCAACACAGAATCTGAGATGCTTCCAGCGAACAGTTAAAACATATCATTTAATCTGATCAGCAAACGATTTATCTCTGATTGACCTTCAATCCTCACCAATTAATCAATTAATTAACCAATTAATTAACCAATTGATCACTTTTCTGCTAATTAGTTTTACTTGCAGGCCACAGAATTTATGAAATGTAAAATATTTATCCTTTATTTAGTTTTTATATATATATATATATATATATATGTATATATATATATAAATTCCCTTCTCACCCACCACGGGTGGTTCTTATCCTCTGAGCTCGGGTCCTCTACCAGAGGATATATATATAGATCTATAGATATATATCTATAGATCTATATATCCTCTACCAGAGGCCTGGGAGCTTGAGGGTTCTGCGCAGTATCTTGGCTGTGCCAAGGACTGCACATTTCTGGACTGAGATGTCTGATGTTGTTCCTGGGATCTGTTGTAGCCACTGCTCCAGTTTGGGGTTACTGCCCCGAGGGCCCCGATGACCACAGGCACCACTGTGGTCTTCACCTTCCAGGCCCTCTCCAGTTCCTCCCTGAGGCCCTGGTATTTCTCCAGTTTCTCCTTTTTCCT